AACCATCTCTCCACCATGAGACTGTAAAGCCAAAAAATCTCTAGACTTTTTTAGGTAGAGGAAAGAGGCAAATGTGAATGTCAATACCCTTTTCTGCTCTGAATTATCAGCTGTTCAGGCTTAAAGACAAAATCAGAAAAGGCTGGCTACTACAACAGTGAATGAACATGGAGACAATTTCTTAGGCAGGAAAAGTCTCAGCTTTGTAAAGTTGCTTTTAAAATTGCAGGAGCTATTAAAACCAAGAGCCCAAGTTCTTCATAAATGCTAAACATCAGACTTGAAAATATTTTTATTGTATCTATGATGTTTTCAAAGCTGGAACTGCAAACATCTCAAAAGAATTGATTACTGATTACTCCAATTTCTCATAGCGCCAAATTTAGAGATTTAACATGTTCTGCAATTGGCTGGTGGTCTCAGATTATCTACCTATGCAATGCCAATGAAGCAGCTGAATAAATGAAGTGCAATACAGATAAAATCAATGTTAGTTCAAAGACTGAAGTCTGAAGAACCTTTTAATCATTTCTAGTATCTCATACCAATGGACTGAATCATGAACTTCTCACTGACAAAAAACCACACTGCTCCTAATATCCATGGCACAACTTCTATTTCCTTCAGTGGGAGAAGACTCACGCTACTGGACTGCCCTCTTTGTCCCACAGGTCTTTCTGATCTTTTAAAGAAAGATTCCATCTTGATGTGGATTTTGGAAATAATGCTATAATTTTAAATTTCTTCTTTAATATTTTTAAGACTAAAAAAATTATGAAGTCACTCATTATTTTATTTGATGAAGAAGACTGATGTTGCTTCTCTAACGTTTTCTAACTGAAGTGATTGAAACAATTTGCAAGTCCATATACTTTTGTAAGACCAAGCATGACGGGTACTTAGAAAAAAGACATTGGCAGGGGCAAACCTCAAGATTTAACTAGTTATCTTATGTTTGACCTATGAGCCAAATCACTCAAAGCTAGATCTTCTGCATATGTAGAAAAAGAAAACCCCCATAGTTTGTGCACAGTTTGTTATTGTCCCAAACATTAAAAGTATTACAGTCTTAAAAAAGTCTAAAATATTGCAATAAATACTAAACATTGAACATGAGATCTAATACTTTGTAAGATTTAGAGATCCAAGCTGACATTCCCAAGGAACATCTACGGGAAAATCTACTGTCTGTCATAGGTACACAGTAATGTCAGTTATTCAAGAAGATGTACAGTTTAATGTCTGACTAATACATTATATGTAAAGAATTTCCTATCACAGCTGCACCAACTGAAATAGGCTTTCAAATGTGTTAAAAGTGCCTGAGTAAAAAAAAGAGAGAAAATAAAAAAATATTCCTTATCTCCTTGCAAGAGAAACAGCCAATGTTCAGAAACAAGTTTTCAATTCATAGCCTTTAACTTCACTTTCAAACTTTCTTCCAGACTGAACCACTTACTGAAGCACTCTTTGTGTTTTATACCATATTATTGCAAGAGAGTTAAAAAAGAATGCATATTTTTGCTTTTACATATCTTAATGACTTACTATACCTGCCCCCCATTTGATTTCTGCATCAATTCTTGTAAAATGGGTTCAAACTTCAATTTGAGCATTTGTATGGGACCTACTGCAAAAGTATGAAAAGTATCAGAACTAGAAGTCTTGATAGTTCTGTACTGATCAAGTTTGCATTGCACAAAAACGAACACAACTTAAAAAAAAAAAAAAAACAAACCAACCAAAAAACAACAACAAACAAAACCAACCAAACAAAAACAACCCCCAAAACCTAGTTGTGAAAAATAATTACTTTTTAAGTTAATTGCTTTCACACAGAAGCAGATGATCCTATAATGAACACTTTTAACATTCTTACTAAGTAACAAGCTTGCTGCTTTGTGTGTTTTGGTTTTTTTGTAAGAATACAAATCAAAGTTAGTCTGCCTATATTCATATTCTTATCATTCCATCTTAGTCATGTAAAAGACTATAAAGAACTACATCTGTATTTTCCATGTTACTTTTTATCTTGTGATGACCTCTCCTGGTTGAGCTGTTCATTAGCCTTGACTCCAAAAGTTGTGTGTTTTCATCCCTCTGTGCTTATTACCAAAAATTTGCAGGAATATGAAGAATTTATTGCCAAGGTATGAAAACATGACCACAAATAGAATTTACAGTAAGATCTGAGCATTAGTGTGTGTGATACTGTATCACAGTGTATGTTGGGCTTTCAACACCCACTTCATCTTGAGATAAAACTGAATGAGATTAAAAGCTTTCAACACGATCACTTCTGAATCAGTATTACTGAGACACCATTCTAATGACAGAGATAGATTTACCTGCTTTGCAAAGTAAACAAACAGTTGAGATGCAGTATATTCACATAAATGACATCCAATTCTATTCTTTCTGAAAATTGTATTTTTTCTATGCCAGCACAAACAGACTATAAGAAAATACCGAATAGCAAGCTCATATAAAGGGATTTGTAATTCACTGTACAACATAACTCTTGCATATTTCCTAAAAAATACTGTAAAGAATAATCTCGCTGTTCTTAATTACTTCAAAGTCCAAACAGAAAATAACAATGGAGGATAAAATGAAATTCTGGTTGGAAATAAGTTTTACATCAAAGTCGCATTTCACACAGGTTTTAATTCTGTTAGAAGTATTCCCAATATGATGTTTGAAATCAACTGATAGGGAATTAAAAAAAAAAAAGAAAGAGAAAGAGAGATAAAAAGCTAAGTGCAGTATCTTGGCAACAGAAAACAAAACTCTCCAATGCCGTTCACAATCAGTTGCATTCAAAGTTACCAACAACCCCAGAAAATATAGCACATTGACAAAATACAACACAGTGATGAGTTTGTATAGCAAAGCATGCAACAGAATAACCAGTGAAGTGGTGCACCAAACTACTGTGACACAGCCCTTGAGTTCCCACTGTAGTACCCCCTCCCAAGCACCAGTAAGCCTTTACAAGAATTTTCAGCATGTACTGCAATGTGAACAACCCTTTTGTAATTTTAAGACTGACGTGTACTTCTAGTTATATTTCTGTTTCCAGTAAACAAATCTAGCTCCATTTCACTCTCAGAAGTGAGTCAGAAATGAAATGCTACTTAGTACATAAGAAGCATAGTGTATAAGCTCTTGGGAGGTGAATTAATATACAAAAATCTTTGAATATCTAACTGTCAAGATGGGAATGTATATGAGTAAATTGTAATTAAGTTTGTATATATCCTTTATTCCTGGAATTTCCGATTACGGTGATGTTAATACAACCATTAACTTCTCAACTAACTTCTTTCAAAAGTTAAATATTTATTTGTTGGGTAATCAGATAGCCCACTGTACGTCATTTTCAACTTAAACTACAGCATTACTTACTGAATGACAAAAACAAACAAAAAAGCTCAGAAACCCTATTAATAGCAGGGAACTTGGTTTTCCAAGAACAAATTTCTGGCAATCTAAATCATAAATCTTTGCCGCCAGACATTCCTGTTATGCAGAGCCTGAGATGTGACCATGAAGAAATAATATTCTTAAGAAAAATTAGATAGCTGATCAAAACTAAGCAGTAAACCTCAGGATCAATATTTCTCCTAACCCAAAGGTAAGAAAATAACTGAACATCCTATAGCCTCTGAGACCTAGATGCAATGTAGACATTCCTCTGCATTTTCTGTTGACACACAAACAAATATAGTGTAAGCAAATCCTGGGACAATAACATTGTTTTATTTTTCAATAGATATCAGATGATAACAGAAACCCACTGAAAAAGTATAGCAGTGCTCCAGTTCCCTAATCATTGCATTGTTCAGTCCTGCCCCCAAGGAAACAAACAAACAAATAAATAAATAAAGTGATCTACACAGATCTCTATGCAGTATATACATTACATTCTATGACAATTCCCTGCTTGGTCAGTAGAATCAACGTCCATTCATATATACACAATCCCAACACATCTATCTGTAACATCTCAGGACATTTCTTTCCTCTATGTGAACAGCCGAGTAAGCCAGCAGAAGCGTCTATTTCTGACTTTTCTATAAAAATGCACTGGTTCATTTCAGTACGCATTTCAAAAACACTTTGCAAATGGCAAATGTTTTACATGGTCTGAAGAGAAACAACTGAACACTTAACACTGACATCTACCTGCAAATGTTTTGCTTGGAACTACAGCTCAGTGCACTGTTAAAGATTTGATCTAATCTAACATCCATTGAAATGAATGAATATGCTGTCATTTTTACATTGATAGAAGAACTGGATCCTGTATAGGGTTTTGCAATTCTCTGGTCTGAAAGTTCAGCATTTCAGCAGATGCTTGACCATTTCTCTACTATTACTGCCTCCCTAGGAGGCAGCTGGTCTTCTCTAAAATACATTTGCTCATTTTATTATGGGCAGCCAAACTTCACTCTCAAGAAATGCTGTCCTGTCTCAGTTCCCTCTCATCAACTCACAAACATTCTTTCCTCTTCAAACGAGACAGAATTTTCTCTTGCTGCTCCTCGATAAAACACTAGTTATGGAAACTGCTCACATCTTCTCTTTTACCTCATAAAACCGTGGAAGTGAAGTACTTCCAAATGCAAATTGCATACCTTCTGAGAAAGGTGGGAAAAAACAAACCAAACCATAAGCCAAACAAAAACTGCCCCCAAACTTTGAACAGCTTCTGATTCTTTTCCCCTCTGACTCCATTGCAGAACCAAGACTATATCATAGAGCAAGTCTTCCAACTTTCCACACCAGCTACCAGTGAAATCATCTACACCAAGGAAGATCTGATGGGGAGCACTGCAAACAGCATCAAACCTCAGTGCACACAAAAAAGAATACAAAGAAAAGTCAAACACAATATTCATCAGCAAAGAAAAAAATCAACCTCAGAGTTGTGGGAATTTCCCTCCAGTTTATTGCAGAAGTGAAATTGTGCATGTTTCTTAGCAAAGGTTACTTACGAGATGCAGGCAGAGCAGTCCTGGCTCTGCAGCTAATGCTGCTGAAAATCCAGAGGAAGAGAGCTGCCCTGCAGCCAGCTCGGGTAACCACAACCATCCTTCACTTCCTGGCTCCCTGTACTCCAAATGCCAGCCGCAGAAGACCTGCTTTTCTCCACTTTGGCCCTTTCTCTCTCTCTCTCCTTCTCCTTCTCAGAGGAGGTGTCGAGGAGGTGTCGAGGAGGTAAAGGGGGCAGGGCTTTACCTTGGGGTAGAAGACAAACCCCCTCTTCACCTGCTATCTTTGGGTTTGCAGCAGCAGGATCAGTCTCGGTACTTTTCTTTCCCTTATTTCTCTGTGTGTCTGTCCCTTCTTCTCAGAGGAAGGGGGGGGGGGAAGAAGAAGAAGAAAAAAGCCACGAAGTATGAAATAAGAAGGATTGTAGAAGAGAAAAATTAAAAAAAAAAAATCAAAAGCAATCCCCCAAAAGACGTGTGGGGTGGGAGGGGAAAGGGAGATGGAGATGAAAGGAAGGAAGAAAGGCAAAAATAGCAGTTGGTGCCGCTAATGCTGCTGTTGATGCTACCACTGCAGCTGAGCCCTTCTTCCTGTACAGAGCAGCGCTGCTGAGAGAAGCTTGCAATAACCTCCCAGCTCAGATATATATACACAGTGTACACGCACACACAGCCAGGGAGCCAAACACACACTCACACAGAAGCAGGCAGAGGGAGGGAGGGAGAGAGAGACACTCCCGCAGCACAGAAGCAAGCTCAGAGCCTCTCTCCTCATGTATTCATCATCTTCCAGCAGGAGGAAACGCTGGCACCAGCAGCAGCAACCTCCCTCCTCCTCCTCCAAAAAAAAAAAAAAAAAAAAAGGGCAGAAGAAGGGAAAATCCTCTCCCCAGCGCTCCCCTCCCCTTCCCCCCGCTTCCTCCAGCTCCTCCCTCTTCCTCTGCGTCCCTTGGGCCTCCAGGACCACAATCGTCCTCCCTTGCCTGCTTCAGAGGCAGAGCCGGGGGACGGCGGCGGGGATCGGGGACGGGGCTGGGGCGGAGCGGGGCCGGGGCCGGGGATGGGGATCGGGGCCGGAGCGGAGCCGGGGGCAGTGGCGCCGGTGCCGGTGTCACAGGGTGCGGAGGCGCGGCGCCTCTGCGCGCCGCCGCGGCCGCTCCTGCATCCCTCCGCACCGCTCCCCCGCACACCGCCGTGGTAGCGGCTCCCTGAGCTCCAGCCTGCCGGGATCCGAGCCAGGCAGCCAGCAGGCAAGTCCTCCGAGCGGTCCTAGTTCTGGGTGGGGGAGTGAGCACCATCCCGCCCGCAGAGAGCTGGGGCTGCAGGAGCCGCTAATGCAGATGCTGCCATTCGGTAGTTAATTCTCACTCCGAGAGCAAGCCAGGAAGCAAGCTGCATTAAAGTATCACTACGGTTTTCACCTACAAGAGATGACTGAGACAACCTGTCCATATCCCAGCCTTATGGTTTAGGGATTTCAAGAGTCTGACTGGTCTTTTTCATCCCTCTCCATCCCTCCTGCCATTGCCCTTAAACAGCTGAACCAAAAGTTATTGCTCACCAGATACGGTAGAATAATGAGGGTAGGGAGTTATTCATGGATTATTTATTCTACAATCAATGAGGCGAAGAAAAATGAAAACAATTATTTCTCAGGTGTTATATAGAGAAGGCTGAAAAATGGAGAGGTATAATTTCTTTAGAGGAGCCCCAAAGCAGGGATAAATTATTTTCAGTGACTAATACACATGCTGTTAACAAGTACCTGCTGTTATTTAGTGACTGTGATGAAGTGGTTAAGACTGTGTGTAAGATGAGATTTTCAGAAAGGCCTTGGGATATTAAGATCCTCAATCCTATTGCCTTTCAGGGGGAGTACAGTGCCTATCTTTTAGGTCACTTTGAAAGCTCATCCATACGTAATATGTGATATCCCAGGAGAGCTGTGGCCTAGAGGTTTGAGCACAGCACAGGATAAAGCTTAAATGCCAGTCCTGGGAAAAGTGTTCCTGTAATCTTGTCCAACTGCCATAATTTTTCCTCCTTGAGCCTTTCCCTCCCTTGTTTTGTCCATATCGAGTATTAATACATTCATATTTTAAATGCTTTCATAGAAGTATTGCCAATATGTCTGTAGCAAATATGAAATCAAAAAGTGCACTATTGATGCGGTTTTATTATACTTGTCTCTGTTGTTGAAAGAATGAATATTCCCACAGTGACTCTGTTACCTCTTCTCTGCATCATCCTGAGGCCTCTGCCATGCCCTCCCCATTCCTTATAACACACAGATACTGGACTTACAGTCCAGTAATCATATGTGAGTGTCCATGTGTGAGTTTTCTGGGAATTAAGTAAGAACCAAATAATAATTAGTGTCATTAAACTGGTTCAAAATTACCTCTTACCATAACTTCTTTCTTGTTTACATCTTCTATTCTCCTCCTGCTCTATATCCCACAATTTTTCAAGTTTATAAACCTACATTTTCTGTCCTTTAGCTGTAGTTGAAGTGATAGAGCTGATATAGTATCACAAACTGACTACGTATATTCATGGAAAAAAGAAAACCTTCCGAGTATGACATGCAAAAAATCCTACCACTTTTCATTCTGAGCTCTTGAAACCCTTTCAGTATTCATTGGTCTTTATTATTCACCTGAATAACTAATAAGCAGCTTCTCTGAATTAGTGTTTAAAGGCTCAGCAGACCATTTTTTTACATAAAATTTCTGCTTCTTAAAGCCCTTCCAACAAGCACAACAACAACAACAACAACAAAACTTGGCCATCACCATTTATACTTTTATACATAGATACTTGCACATCGCTCAGGTCATGAAGCCCTCCACAGGACAAAAATTTGAGTTGTTCAGACTTCACACTTTAGCATATGCTGATTGGGGTTTTCAAAAACGTACTCAAATTGATCATAAGTAGGTACACATTTAAAAAACGGCTACAAAGGATAAGACAGGTAATTCAAAACAGGAAGATTCAGCAGGTTGATTGATGAATATCTCAATAATGGTGATAGTAGAAAGTTTCCTTGTGGTTTGAGGCGGAAGAAATGGCACAGATTATTGCATTTTTCCCCACCTCGGAATAGGATCAGGCCTTAAAAACTGCATAAAATATTTAAACTATGTAGCAACAGAAATGAGTTGTGCAAGGGTAATGCAATTATTTTTAATATAACCACAACTGAGGCCTGCAAAATCATTAACTTTGACTGATTCTGTCACACAAAAATCATTACAAAGATCTTCAGGCATTCTTTGGTCCTATAAAACAAGCTAACCATCTTATATAGTCTTCTTTAGGTTTTTTTCTTTTTCCTGGAGGGTGTTGTGAAATATTACTTTACATGATTCAACAAATCCAAGTTGAATATATTAACCTTTACAATGAAAACATGGTCAAATTGTCTTAGGCCACACTATGAAGTTATTAGATACTTCTACTCTTTCTCCTGACTATTCCTTTCTAGAGTGTAAATGTGAGGATGTTTCTAAGCAAGCAGTGAGACAGTCCTGCAGTCTCAGCCGGGCAACTACAAGCTTTAGCACCCGTATGCTGCAACTGTCAAGTGTCTGCAACTTAGGTCAACAGGGACCTGTACTCATCAAGTCCAGCCACTAACCCAGCAGTGCCAAGTCCACTACTAAACCATGTCCCCAAGTGCCCCGTCTACACATATTTTAAATACTTACCAGGGTGGTGACTCAGCCACTTCCTCAGTTCCCTGAGCAGCCTGTTAAAATATTTGGCAACCCTTTGCATGAAGAAATTTTTCCTAATATCTGATTTAAACCTCCCCTGTTGCAATTTGAGGCCATTTCCTCTTGAACTATTGCTTTTATACTTGGGAGAAGAGATTGGCACCCACCTGGCTACAACCTCCTTTCAAGACATTTTAGAGAGTGATAAGGTCTTCCCTGAGCCTCCTTTTCTTCAGGCTAAACACCTCCCTCAGCTACTTCTCACATGACTTACTCTTGAGACCCTTCACCAGCTCCGTTGCCCTTCTCTGGAAATGCTCCAGTACCTCAATGTCTCTTTCAGTGAGGCACCCAAAACTGAACACAGGATTCAAGGTGCAGCCTCACCAGTCTGACTATAGGGGAATGATCAACACTCCCAGAGCCTTAAAAACTATGGAGACACCCCAGTCTACTGGTGAAACCTCCCTGGCAAATAGTAAGACACTAAAGTGTTAAAAGACTCCAGTTATTACAGCTGTACACAAATTTTATTGAGCTTAATGGAAATCGTACATGCATATTGATGAATGAATAGATCATTCTGAATTTACTAGAGCTGTCAAGCAATGTCTGCTAAATGGAATTTGTCCTAGACAGAGCTATATTTACAGTATGTGAATGTAAAGGAAGAAAACAATGTCAGAAACCTAGAAAAGATAATGAAGAACTTCAAACACTGATGGGTCCAAATGGCACCCAATAAAGTGATGAGGTAGGACCACAGAGGAAAATGAGCCAAGCTGAAAAAGAATGTGAAACTTCTGAAACTTCTTTATACTAACAAACTACCATTTTAACATTGTGTTTCCCTATTATATTCTGGTTGTCCCTCACATAGCAGAGCTCTAAAAATTATCCATAGCAGAATTTCTGTTAAGGTTTCTAGAATGTTAAATATGAGGACTTCACTCAGGAAAGACAAATGCAATGTATTTCAAATTATAACCAAACAAAACTCTATGTACACAGAATGAAATGCCAGATAATGGACAGCTCTGTGACTGAAGGAAGTCTTGGGTTTATTAAGAACAACACGGGGTTTTCTACTGGGATGGTTAATATTCATAGATCTTTCTCTGAGGGAGAAAGAGGACACATGAAAATTGTTACCATTCTCTGATGTAATCTCATCTGTCTATGAGAAGCTGTAAAGGCCTGAAGAAAATGTTTATTTTCTAGAAAAGCAAGGAAATTTTTTCCTAATTTTCTTAATGCAGCTAAAAAGGAAGATGAGAGCGCATTGGCAGAAAAGAGACATTATCTTCTTCTTGCTCATGCAGCTAAAAATATAGCATTATAAGTGAATGCATTTTGACTTGACCATCAGTTTGTTATTGTAGTTGTATTAAAACAAACAGATAAAAAAATGGAAATGTATGTTTATAGACATCAAACAAATTAAAGATGTTCATAAATTTTCAGCTGTTCATAAATGTTTCAGATGTTCATAAATTTCAAGACAGCATCTACCTTTAGAAATTTTTTTTGTGATATCCAGGTCTCAATCTACACTGCGTAATGAAAAATTTTGACAATCAAAACATTATGAGGAGAGGCTGAGGTCACTTGGTTTCTTCAGCCTAGAGAAGAGGAAACTGAGGGGAGACCTCATTGCACTCTACAACTTCCTCGCGAGGGGAAGTGGAGGGGCAGGTACCAATCTCTTCACTCTTGTGACCAGTGACAGGACTCGAGAAAACAGCATGAAGTTGTGTCAGAGGAGATTCAGACTAAATATCAGGAAAAGGTTCTTCACCCAGAGAGTGGTTGGGCACTGGAACAGGCTCCTAGGGGAAGTGGCCACAGCATCAAGCCTGACAGAGTTCAAGAAGCATTTGGACAATGCTCTCAGGCACATGGGGTGTGCTGCATGGGGCCAGGAGTTGGACTTGATGATCCTGATAGGTCACTTTCAACTCATCATATTCTGAGGTTCTGTGATTCCAAATAGAAAATCATGCCATATGTCTCAAACATATACTAGACTTTAATCTGCATTTCATAGATGTGCAAATAGAACTGAATTTGATTCTTCTTCTGCATCATGACTAAAACAACCAAACAGATATGGTGGTTACCTGTCAAAAATGCAA